ACGAACGTCCCCGCAGGAGGGCTTACTGGCTCGGAGGGGTTTTGGGGACATTCGTCTTTCTGTATTCTCACAGTTCCCCGGCCGTCCATAATGTCGGCGACTGGTGAGGACACACGCATCAACCGGCTACGTTCGTCTTGCCGATCACCGATTTTTTGTGGCACGCAACGGTGGACGAACGTCGTCACCTGACGCTGATTCAGAGAAATACGTCCATATGTCCACACTTGAGAACTGTACTATCAAGGCAATTACCGACGGACGTCTTCCCATTGTCAGAATACCGTGTGGGCGGCAGGCCGGCTTCGGTAGGAGGACGCCTTGCGACAGGGCATGTCGAGGCGCCGGAGGGATTTTCCGTACTACAAACAGTGAAGGGCACAAAGAGATGCAGGTATGAAGTAAAGCTCATGAATGTAGAGACAATTTGGGCAAAAAAGGAGTATATTCTTCGGCTCTAATGGCCGGACATTACAAGAGCTAGAATGGAAAAATGTAAATTACATTATACAAAGAAGGGGGATCCCGGTCGGCCACCGCTCTGGTTCGGCTCCTCCTCCTCCTCTTCAGGCTTCGGGGTCGGCGGTTCTGGGATCTCCCCCCTGGCCTTGGCCTCCTCCCGACGCTGGTCCCTCCTCAGCTTCCCCAGCGCTTGGACCAGAAGGTCGTCGTCCGTGTTCGCGGCCAAGTCGAAATCGGGGCCGAGCAGCTTGGCGAATGTAGGGAGGGTGGCCTTTACTCCTTCATTGTAGCCGGCGGCGAAGGTGCTGTCGCCGACTTCATATAGGAATTTGCGGGACAGGGGAGAGCCCTCAAGAATCCGGACGCCGCGGGCCAGGCACTGGCGGGGCGGTATCTTCTCCAAAGCTGCAGCGAACAAATCAGCGAAGACCCCGGCGCAGTAGTCCTTGGCGGAGTCCATAAACTCCCCAGTGTTCCGGTAGCCGGAGGTGTCGACCAGCCACTCCGGACTCGCGTCCTTCGCAACAGGGTGCACCGGAACGAGCTTAAAGCCAGCTTTTGCAAGGCTGGCCAGCTGGCAGCGGGATTCAGCCTGCAGGGCTGCTATCTCCCTTCCCTTGGCCGCAGCTTCCGCCTCAGCTCGACGGACGGCTTCCCGGGCCGTAGCAGCGGCCTCCCGGGCTGAAGCGACGGCCGCATCAGCCTTGGACTTGACCTCCCTCAGGTCAGCCTCCCTGGCAGCCTCAGCTTGAAGGACTAGAAGCCCAGACTGGAGAACAGAGAAAAATAAAGGCAATGGTCAGAAGATGAACATCAAGGAAAAGAGGTACTCGGATCCGGTAAGAAGGGGTACCTGAAGAGCGGTGGCCAGGGCAGCGCTGGTCGCCTCCGACGACGAACGGCGGGGCAGCTCGAGACCGGCCTTGAGGGCCATCTCCCTCCAAAGCTCCTCCGCCGGGCAGCTCAAAGGCAGGGAGCTGGTATCTTCAAGCGGGGGGGGCAGTAGAGCCTGCCTCACGCCCCCTTTTCTGCTTCTTCTCGGGGACCTTCTCTGTCCCCTTCTGTGGAGCCGCCTTCGTGGGGACGACCGGCGGTGGAAGGGCAGCTTCAAGGGCAGGGGCTCCGGAGCCCTGAGCCAGCACGGTGGCAATCAAGTGCTGCTCACCCTCAGCCGTTCGTCGGGCAGCATCAGAGGCCGAAGAGTTGGAATCCGATGCGGGGGCGTTCTTGGCCTTCATCAGTGCGGCTTTAGCAGCGGCCGCCTTGGCCTTCCTCGTTTTCAGACACTCAGCGTGATTCATCTGAGCTCTGTCTGGCGGAGAACCTGCAGGAGAACGATAAAGGGTTAGAAGACGAACAGAGAATGCAAAAGGACACTCACCTCGAAGGACAGGACCGCCCGGTGCCCCGAGACGAGCGTCGAAGGGTGGAAGGGGTCCAAGGACACGGGCGGTACCTATGCCTGCCCCCGAGAGTGCCTCGAAGGTCAGATAGCCAGCTATGGGGCGAATGCTGCCCTGCAGGATGCCTTCCACGGCCTCACTCAGATCGTCGGTCAACTCCGGCGACTCTATCTTCGGGGGGTAGCCATTCCAACGAACTGGGAGGGGAGGACCATCATAGCGAAGGAAGAAGAACCGGTTTTTCCAGTCATGGATGGAGGAGGGGTAGCTCTTAAAAAGCCTCCTCCCCGGACGAGCGGCCACGCTCAGATACCCGTCGGAGTTCTGGGGAGTGATCCGGTAGAAGTAGTGGAACAGATCCAGGCTGGCTTCGACCCCCGCAAGTTTGCAGCGCACCAAGAAGGCCGATATGAACCTATAGGAGTTCGGCATGAATTGCGCCGGGGCCACTTGGAAGCAGTGGAAGAACTCCACATAAAATGCGTGAAGGGGAAACCGCAGCCCAGCTTCGACGGAGTCCAAGTGAAGCATGATCATCCCTGGACGTCTCCTCATCACGTGCTCAGCGCCCCTCACGCTCCAGACGAACGACGGGGGGAAGAAGGTACGGATCTTGTTGAGGGCCACACGGGAGAGGACCTGGTCATGGTCAAGGGCGCTCCTGATCGGGCAGATGTGGCGCTCCATATCCGTGGGGATGCCCAGGTCATACACCTCCATATCGGAACCGGATTCGGCCTCCTCTCCAGAATCATAATCAGCAGGACGCTCATTCAGGGGGACTGCGTCAATAACATCTATTGCCCCGTCAGCACCCCCGTCCCCGGCGTCGCTCCCACTACTTTGAGACACATCATCCGGCTCGCCATCAGCCCGGACGGTCCCCACCGTCGTGGCCGAACCAGAAGTCCCGGAAATACTGGCCTTTCCGGGGGAGCGCGCACTCACATTGTCCGAAGAGGAGCCCGAGGAGGAACCCGACGAACCGGACTCAGAACTTGACGAAATCTCCATCGAAGTCATGTCGGCTAGGAATCAGAACAAGAAAAGAAGCAGAGGGGGAAAATTACCTTACAAAGGGGTTAGCCGGATTCAGAAGAAGACTTGGAGAGCTGCGGAAAATCGAGAGCAAGAGAGCAGAAATTGGGAACCCTAATTCAGAGGGAAAACCCGGCATTTAAAGGAGAAAACACCGATGGGGAAGCCAACGAGGGGCTGACACGTGGCAAGGAGCGTATTCCGGCCACGCGCTGTGCGTGGGGCAAAAACGTAATGATGACATTTCCTCGGGAAATGCTCCGCCGCAACATCAGCCGTCACCTCGTTTCCTGAACCGTCGACAGCTGTCAAGCACCATGACCACGAGCGTACGCTTCCCACGGGTGCAGAAAACACAAAGTATCAAGACACGAACGTCTACCTTGAGGGGATTCCTACTTCCTTATGTCCTGCGCGAGCCCAGAACATCAGAAGTGGGGGACTTGTGTTGGGTTAAGGGCCCAAGCCGAGGTCCGGCCCACTAACCCATATTGCCAGACGCACGTCCAGTTAGAACACCAGGCCACCCCACAGGCCCATGTCCCTTGAGGATGGACGAACGTCTGATGTTGGGGGCTCAGGCCCAGCGAACTCATCCCGACGAACGGCTGTACGGGGACAAGGAGCAGGACCACGGGCCACCAGGGATGGCGACGAACGTCCCCGGGGCAGGCCTTGAGTATCTATCAAGGCCAGGAGACGAACAGCCGATATCTTTCGAGGGTCACTTGGAGCAATCCAACTCACTTCCCAGGAGGACGAACGTCCCCACTAATCAGGCGGGAAACCTAGATTCTGGCGGGAAGTGCATTTAATGCTGAAGATTTGGTAGTTGGGACACCAGCGGTCCACAGGCTGCCACGTCAGTACAGCCACCTGCCCATTGGTGGGTATAAATAGAAGCATTTATTTCATTGTAAAGGGTTGGCAACTTTCTATTCTTAGCATTCTGGCTATTGTATTCTTACTCGCAGCATCTCTACTGCCTTGTAAGACGAACGGCCGACGTGCCCTTTTTAGCAAGTAGATTGTACTTAGGGGAGTTATTACGAAGTTAATAATACCTATTTACATTGCCTGCTATTACTTTTGTTTCCTGATCCATCTCATAGTTGTTGGGCTAGATATCCTTACACTTACTCCACTCGAAATCTTTGGGCTTACGTGTTGGGTCCAAGGGTTGAAGGAATAAACCTCAACACACTATTTTGTAATCTTGAACTATTTATCATCATACAAAATATGTAATTTTATAGTGCAAAGAATGCAAAAAAATATTTTTTATATATTGGAACACATATGTTAACACTTTTTTCGAAGTATATAGTAATGTTTTGAAATAACATTTTATACTACAATATTTAAATGTGATATACAAACAATAAAAGGGAGAATTGGACACAAGTACATTTTTTTTAAATTTTGAATTTGTAGTTTATCTTTGGTATTTTTTGAAATTTATTTTATCAATTTAAAGTTAATAATGGTATATTTGCTCCTTTATAAGAATATGATGGGTATATTTGTACCTTTTCAAAAGTTCAAGAGTATATATGCACTTTCACATATATTTTAGAGGTATATTTTATTCCGAAAAATAGAAGATGAATATATATTTCTTTAAAGTAAACATGAATGATTATATCGATACTTGTGATAAGTCGATAATACGGAGTATGAATTAACGCCATAAATATCTTAACAACTAGGCTAAAGGGTCAAATAGACCCTTGAACTGACTTAAGGTGTTCAATTAGCCCCTTATATAGGAGGTTCTGCCCGACCGTCGCTAATTGGGGCGATTCTCGGTGAAATTTTTTGATGAAATTTTTTGAGCATCTTCTTCATTAAGTCTAGTTTACCCCTACCAAATTTCAGCTAAAAATTCAAACGGAAAGACAGTCAAATGATTTTCCAAAATATATTGGGCTATTCAAGGGCCTATTTGACCCTTTCCTATTTGACCCTTCCTAACAACTACTATTGGTTACACTGCTAATCTGCTCTAGATGACTCATCATAAACTTGTCAAAACTGGCCCATGTGTATCGCCAAAAAAGACATTTGCATCTTCAAAGAACGTTACACTAATTGTCATACGTACTATTTGCTTTGCTCTTTTTTTTATTATTATTTGATGCTTTGATGAAAAGGCAAATTCTTTGGTTGTTTCGAAGGCAACGTGGCAGTAATTACAAGGTGGAAAAATAAAAAATCAAAATCATCAGAAACGAATAAACCTTCCAAGTATTCAATCATTGAAAAAATGGAATTCTAAGAAACATGAAATGAGTTTCCGATCTATCTATCTAGCTGTTTTTTGCTGCATTTTGACAAGATGAATGAAAGAAAATAAGGAAAGGAAGAGGAAATCTCCATTCTTTTTCTTTCAGATCCAATTCACATTCCTTTTACAATCTAAATTTCTCCTCTCAACAATTTGAATATCCATCAAAAATTTGACTTTCTTGCTCTTCTTTCTTTCCCATCACCCCCACTTCTTTCCCTCATACCACCTGGAGAAACAGTAAAGATAAGATGTCATTAAATGCCAATTCACATTATGCTTAAATCTAAAATTCTACAGTAATAAATGACAAAACAAATACTCAACTGGTTTCCTGGAACTAGAGATGGCAGGTAGAAACCACACTGTTCCTGATATACTGATCCTCCCTGCAACAACACATTGTTGGGGTAGTTTGTTGAGTATCCCTGTGAAAAATCTAATACCCCATTGTCAACAGTAGCTTGACAGTCCATTGCGAAATTGTTCTGCAGAAAAAAAACCCATTTAGATCTCAACAAACAAACCAAAAATGCACCAATTGAAGTTCTTAATGACAAAACCTGGGATGTCAAAAAAAAAATAACTTGAGATGAAATCTTTTACAAGAGTAGCTTAAAATCATGTATAGTAGTTTATTAAACAAATACTTCACCAATAACTTAAAACAGAATGAGTCTCACAACAAAGCAAAACTTAGAGAAATGTGTCTCTGTCCTAAAACTGTCTACCTTCTTCCCATTTTCATATGTCCCAATTCCCAAAATGAACTTCAATCTTCTTTTATGACTCAAAAATCAAACAATTTATGCTTTCTTAATTCAAAAGTCAAAGCAGGAATATTAGATAGAGGGAATAGAGACTTACATTACTGAAGTTGAAGATGGGAGAGCTGGCAGTATCATCAAGAGCTGCAGCCTGTTTTTCTATGATGTTTTTCCTACGCATATTTTCATTACTTCTCAGGCTTTTCACATGGGTCTTATTGGGCAATGCAGGAGAAGGCTGAAGAGGAGTAGCATGGTGATAATAGGAGCAGCCATGGTTGTGACTGTACTGTCCATAGTTGTCTTCTTCCACGAAATGCGGCGGCCCAGAAGATGCATCAGAAACCATAGACAAATCTTCTTCTTCTTCCTCCTCCTCTTCATTTTCTTGACAAAACCCAGATTTCCTTGCAACAAATTCATGGCCCTGGCTATGGCTATTGTCATCATCACAGGAATGGTGTGAAGGGATGTAAGAGTTCTCGAAGTATAAAGTCCACCCAGATTCACAGCCGCTGCTGCATTCTGAATCGCCACCAGAAGAGCCGTAATCCATTTGTTTGTTTTTTGTGGATGACGCTGACCAAGAAAATATATAAAAATGGAAAAAACTGCAGTTGCAGGTAGAAGAAAGGCAGCACACGAGAGGTGAAATGAAAGGAGAGAATGTAGCTAGAAAGAAGCAGAAAGGGTGATGTATTTGTGATGTTGTGAAGGTTGGATCCCTCTATTTAGCAGTGGGTGGTGGTGTTGAGTGAGTTGTGGGGTTTGATTTATAGCAAAAGACCAAAAGAATTAATTAATTCATAAATAATAACCCAAGTCCCTGTCACCATAGTCTTAAATATGGGATAAGTCTCACTTATTACCCATCCTCAACTACAAGCGCTTGGTAAATATTTCATGTAGTGTGTTATTTATATTACATGATAAAGCGCTTAGTATAAAATAGTACTACCTCCGTTCCACCGTTTGGGATAGTTCGGTTTACGAATCTTGATCAACGATAAAGCAAATAGATCTCTGTCGGCACTCAAATTATTTTTAGAAAAAATAAATTACATATTAAGAAACTAAATTAAAAACTTTAGAAAGTCGCAAAAATCAGAATCAAATTTTATAAAAATACTGATATATAAAATAAGAGATTAAGAGTTATTTGTGTTGATCAAGTGAATAGTGTCTGAGATAATCTTAGCGGGACGAAGGGACTAGTAATTTTCTATGTAAACTGTGTATTATGGGTTATTGGTCCGTTTTTGTCAACCCAAATTTCTCCCTATTTATAGGCATATGATAATGAAAGTACTCACCATTTTTGTCTCTTATCTTGTCAAGGGCTGGAGGTGAGTTCACCTTCGAGAGTTTAGTATCAGTTCGGTGATGTCAAGATCACTTGATGCTAATAAATAAAAAAATAGTCACATTTTTATAAGAATGTTTTCAAGTTGTTTGTCCCACACGGATTTGGTCATATTTTTTTTACTTGTAATTAGTCTTTCACTTAAAAGTTGGATATGAAATTAAATGAAGGAAGCTGTGAGTAATTTTAGTAGAACAATTATTATGACTATGCATATGAAAACCGATACAATTAAAGATCTACCATGTAATGCTACCATATTAAAAACGTTATGAAAATATTAAGTGATGTCACGTCATCTCACATTGTACTTGGTGAAAAATACTTATCAATGCATAAGATGTTGGTCACCTAATTATATTTTAAAAATGAATTTAAATTTGACGTCGTACTTCGTAAATTTTAATATGATCTCACAATATCTCAATGACTCAATGTTGATAAAGCTAACTAAGCGTAAAATAAGAGTTTTTTTATGGTTTAGAACCTCTCATTCTTGTGACTAACTTGAAACTTGTCTAGATTTATTCCAATTAAATTTACATTTCTAGTTACTAATGAGTATATAAAGATGACTAAAGTTACTAATGAGTATAGCCACATGGTCATTTAGATATAAAAATTGAACATAAATCACTACTAGTAGCGTTGCTAGGGGGCATACTAGGCCCTGACCTAACCAAAATTTAAATATGTAATGAATTTTTAAAATAATTGCTATTATATAGTTACTACAAAAGCAATTCGAATAGCCTAAGGCTATGATGAAACATAAAATGAAAAATTCTTAAGGAACATAATTTGCTTACCCTACATAGATCAAGACTTCTTTATCAACATAGAAGTTCCTGCTAGAGGAAATCAATAATTAAGACTGCAAAAGAATACTATAATTACTCTACAATAGAAACCAAATAAACTTGGTTTCTTAAGAAATTTGGTTTGTTAAGTCACCGGATAGGAACATCTAGAATTCTCAGTTTGACCAGCTTGCTACTGGTAAGAAATTGTCAATATCATCGGTTTGACCAACTACCGAAAAGAAGATCCAATTGAGCGTTACTTTTCTCCCATAACATGGTGATTCAGGATGAGAGCGAATAAGTGAATAACTGTAGCACCGAAGTTCTCGGTGCTTGAAGTTGACCTCTCTGAAATATGAAGCATGACAAACATTGTCAACTAAAAACAATAAAATTTAAACACTTGATCGATTCTTTCAATAAGAAATACACAAATATTAGACATCCACCACACCACATAATTTGAAAATAGTGATCTTTTTTATATGTAGCAGGACAAGAAAATGTTGAGGGGAGGGGACTAAGGATGGCAATGGGGGCGGGGGCCCGTGGGGAACCGCCCCGTGGGGGGGAGTTGGGGCGGGTGGTGGGGTGGGGCGGGTGGTGGGGTGGGGGAGATATTTTCTCCCCGCATAAATATGGGGCGGGTGATGGGTTATGCACCCCCCGCACCGTCCCCGCCCCGTCCCCCGTAATAATTAATAATAATAATAATCTCAATAATAATACTAATAATAATAGTAATACTAATACGAAGTGATTAAAATAGCATGGTGGCCTGGTGGGTTTAGTGGTTTCCTATCTAATGGATTGTGCGTAATGGATCTATCTAATTCTTGTTTAATAACTAAGCTATCTTGTAAAATTGCTTATCAAAATCATAAAGTAAAATGATTTTTTAGAGATAAAATAAAATGAATTTGGGAAAGTTATAAAGTGATATTAGCTTAAACGCCTCAGGCACGGTGTGAAAGTTTTTTTCCTTTACTATTATAATGCATTAATTCTTTTCTTTTGAATGTCATCTTTATGATTGTAGTTAGGGCTCTTAAAATTTGGTGATCATATGTCGTCCTAGATGCCGTCAAATGACCATGATTGATTGAATGCAGGGTTTAAGAAAATATTATAGAGCTAATCAATGCTAATTTAGAGTTTGATAAAAATTACTAATTTAGAACGCGTATAATGTGTTCTAGATTTGAAATGGGATGTAAGATTACATTGACACTTAAAAATATAAAAAAAATGGCTACAAGAAGTGTTGTTAAATTTTTGAAAAATTATCAGAGTCTAAAATGATGTTAATTTTTGACGAGTACTTCCCCGTTGGGTACCCGTGGATCTAGCGGGTCGGGGCGGGGGATGGGGCGGGTCGAATAGTAGTGGGGGATGGGGCGGGGGTGGGGGCGATTTTTTAGACACGGGGCGGGGGATGGGGGAGTGAACCCCCGCCCCAACCCCGCCCCATTGCCATCCCTAGAGGGGACGGCATAAACGTGTCTTCTCTTATACACAGAATAATTAATGTGGCATACTACAAATATAAAATAGCGATTACATGTATTGTATTTTTAATCTCCTAACTTAAGACATGTCTAGCGAAAAATTCTAAAACTAGAAATTGTAGAGAATGAAAAAAAATTCCTCATAAAGTTATTGGAGAAGTAAACTAAATGATTTAAATTTATCTTGCTAGATAATGAGCACACGGCTATTTGTTTGTAAGATTAGTTTAACTTCAAGTAATTTTACAAATACGAATTATTATCACAAATTCACATACTCTCCCTATATTTAAACTCCAATACGTTGTCCCTTTCTAAACTTTGTATAATCTTGAAATTAGTGTTATCAATAAGTTCTTTCCTAATCAGATGATCGTTACGTTCTATGCAAGATATAAGGATTGATTCCATATAACCACGTCCTTTTGCACCCAAAGAAAATGAAAATCCCAACCCTAATCCCTTTTGTCTTGTCATGACAATATAATTAATATAATTAATATCCCATTGGCAAGTGAAGTTCAAGGTATCTTCCTTAACTCGGTGATTAAATGGGATTCAACACGCAACACCATACCGTTAAGCAAATGTCAATTAAACAATCAAGTTTAATTAATCAAGATATAATTATAATAATATATTTAGAGTCAACGTAATTTGTCATGTTTTTACTGTGTATTTTCGTGGTAAAAAGTTGAAAACAAAATGGGAAAAGAAGAAATAAAGAGAGGGGGAAAGAGGAAGGATGGAACGGGGAAGGGCAGAAGTAGTTCACATGGGCGGACAGCGAGGCACAGTGTACGCTAGCGCTCTTTTAAACAAAACGGTGTACGTACTTGGACACCTAGCTACCCGTTACCCCCCAACTTGCAATAGTGACACCAATCTGCCCAAAATGCCCCTCCCCCACCTCCTACTTTAAGCAAAACTTTGATGTCTCTAGGGGTAGTGTAGTCTAATGAGAGCTGGCTGGCTTTGCTAGCTAGGCTGTTTGTTTCAATTAAGTAACATACCACACTAGTATTTATTGCCACTCCACCTTCTCAATCCTTATCTCCTTTTGGAATGTATTCTATTGGGCTTTTAAATTTTTAAAATTGAACCTATTTGATTTGGAGGGTGTTTGAAATTGATGCTGCTGGTGATTCTATTTTAAAAGAAGAAGTAGAATTAGTGTCGGTTTTTGAAAAGTTGGTCTCCCAGTAGTTTCTAAAAAACCAATTCTAGGAGCATTTTTGAGCTCTCAGATGTATTTCTGCACTTCTACTCAAACGCTAAAACACTTATTTCAACTATATGAAAGAGCAGAAACGGTTTTAAAATGTGCACAAGAAGTTATTTTTGAAACGGTACTAATATTGAAGTATAAAAATGATCGTTTTATCCCAAAGTTAATTTCAAATCAAATTTGACTTATCACGTTCGTACACCAAAAATAAAAATTATTTTACTATGGTTATCAATCATTCAAATAGTCCATTAAAGATAATTTTAAGACAAAAATATGATATAGGAACAATATAAATTGGATACGTGGTACTAGACTAAAAATTCTATAACCGAGCACTCTAGTTCGCTGGGTGCAAGGTTAATTACCTTGCCTACGTTTGGTCTCGGGTTCGAAAACCGTTAGGCACTTAGGTGAGAGGAGGGATGTCTTGCTCCCAATGATTCTTCCTACCTACACGGAGTTGCTCAACGGCTAACAAGAGAGAGAATGATAATGAAGGTAGTGGGTTCGTGTGGTGGGAGAACAGCCTGGAAAACAAGCCTGGAAAACAGGTGATGTAAGTTCTGCTGGATTCGTCCTTTAGGAGCCAGTACTGACGAGACTGACTGTGATCAGATCCGAACTGAATAGACTCCATGATTATTAGAGCGCAAGCCCCGACACCCGGATTATTAAAAAAAAACAAAAAGACTATAAATTCTATTAAACAGGTAGCTTTATACATATAACTTCTTTATTTATATAATTGAATAAAAAATATGATTTGACTAATAAATAGCCACTGCGGTATATACCTAAAATGTGACATAAAAACGTTAGACACCCTGTAGTGTTACGGAGTAC